GTATTTGAGACTCATTATATAATTGTTCAGCTTGAGTATGCGGTTCAGACAGTGGTGTCAATAAAAAGTGAGAACAAGCGTAGCCACCATCACCGAGTAATAGCGCATTTCCCATCTCGCCATTCATAAATCTTGCACGTATTGTGCTAGCATTAAGAATAGTAGAATCATGGGTGGAACCAGGCCACCGTGCTACTATGTCTACAAATTTTAAAGCACTGTTACAAACAGCTTGCACATTGATACTAAATATTCCTTTTCTATTTCTATATACTTCAGCTTCTTCTCCACCTAAATAAAAGTAAATATATGAAAATACTGTAGATTTATTACTTATCATTTCTAATCTAATACACACCTGGAGATAGTAGTTTGACATGAGTACAGTCAATAGCTCCTATAACTCTAGGGAAACGGGCAATGTTGTAAAACCTTTCTTTTGTGTGCATTAAACTCTGATTAGAATTAGGAAAATGAATATATCGTAAACGTAACGATGCTATTGCTTCTGTAACCTTCTTTATAATCCTGCACATAGTAGATTTGTGAATTCCACCAAAATCACCAATTGCGACTTGAAAGGTTCCAGTTGCATAGAATCTCAAAGTAAGTAATAGTTGATGTAGTGGTGATACAGCATGATTTCTAAAATACCAATATTTCTGAGTATAAATATTTATATTTATTAATATAGTCTCATATAAACATTATAATTGCATAAATATTTTTGCCTATAAAACATCTGCATTACATACAATCATTATATAAAAAATACATACCTGTCAGTCCTGCTTTTTATTCTGTCTTCAATAAGAGTTAAAATCATCTGGACAGTGCGTTTGCGAAACCGAAACCGTCTTACAAATTCTACATTATCGTATTCGTTAAATAAATCTGGACGCGGACGAATTGTATATTGTTTGCGAATCACCACTATTATTTCTTCATCAGATTCTTCATTATCATTATCGTCATCATACAAAAATTGATTTTCGCACAATTCAAAATCCATTGTCAATGTAATAAAGTGAGATTCTAAACATATAATTCGATTGTGGATAACGTAACCTATCTAGCGCATCTCTACTGTTTGCTATTTCTACATAGTTATCTGTTAGATACGCCTTACACGGTACCGAGAGTGCCGTGTAATTTATCTTTTGGTTTTGGGTCATTTATCAGATAGATAAATTTTACCGACACATGGAACAACGCAAATCAGAGTTTTAACCATTAGATAAATTACCCGCTACTTTATCTGAAGGTGGAACAACCGGCCCTTAACCGTTATGTTCAAAAAATTATCTAGCAGAATGGCGTATGGGTATAAAAGGCCCCCTAGCCACTATAAAACCAAACCAAACCAAACCAAAACACTTATCACCGAGCATCATTCCATCGTTGTCGAAATACACACCATATACGTAGTCTATGTCGTTCTCTTTCTTACCACTCAGGATAGCTTTCATATATTGTTGCGCCAACGGATCAAAATGATTTTGAAACATTTTAAGACCCTCCAACGTTTGCATTTGACGTTGAATAGTTGACTCAACCGATTTGTTGGCAGTAGCATCAGTAGCGACGATAGTGTCATTCGATGGAGAATCCCATGTCAATTGTCGTTCGGTTCGTTTTTTCGTCGGAGTAGAAGTCGCCATTGCAGTGTTATATCGTGTGCGCTTTGAATTGTGTAAAATAGAGGACAGTGTTTTGTTCGATGTCTGTGGTCGTTTCCGCTTCGTCTGGGTCTCGTGTGACGTGTCTTCGAGAAACAATGTGTCTGACTTTTTTTGCTTAGTTTCCTTAGTTGCTTAGTATTTTCAGCAGTCTGTTTTAGAGGTTCGATAATAGGTTTAAACTGTCTTTCCAATGCAATTTCTTCTTCTAATTTACCGGTTTTCAGAGCGCGATATTTTTGACGAATGGATTGACTTGTTTTTGCAATCTCCTTTGCTACTTTCTCGCGATCTATAATTTCACTGCTTTTGTCAGGTGAAGCCATGTTGCTTACACCGGTAGAAGAGAGACGATACTTGGTTGATGTCTCAACGATTAACTGTTCGACGGTATCGCGAACTCGTTAAATCCTTTTCTATAGCGACTTCTGTCCAAAGGACTGCTCTTGTTGATCACTAAAATTCCATATTTGTTTTGCCAACATTTGTGACATAATGTACAAAACTTCTCGTACGACATATCCGTATTTACATGATCGTTATACACATGTTTGAGATTGGTACCATCTTGTTTAAAAAGAATTATCAATTTGCGTTGTCACGTATAAGATGCTTTAGTATACTCGCTTACGTCTGACAAAGATAGAAACAGTCGATACTCGAGTGATGACCCATTGCAAAGTATTCTCGTCTCGTATCCTGCTTGTCACATGCCACGTCATCAAAAATAAAAATAGAATTCGGGCTACCAATTTTGTGGCCGGGAGCGCGTTTGGAAAAACGATTAGCTAGAGGCAATCGCGGCATTAATCCATTGAATGCGGCTTGTCGTGAACACGATATAGCTTATTCGCGAAGCAACGAACTCGCTGCTCGACACGTGATAACGCGTGCGGCTGATAACGCACTTGCTGCAAGGGCGCGCGATCGTATTACAGCGGCAGACTCGAGTCTCGGTGAGAGAGCAGCTGCGACCGCCGTGTGGGCGGCTATGATAATAAAAATTAAACTTGGCATGGGCTTGAAAAAGAAAAGCAAGTAAGCAAAAAAGAAGCGAATACTTCCAATTGCTAAACGCGATGGTGTGTTACTGGTCCTACCGCTGTTGGGTGCTCTCGGTGCGCTCGTTGATGGAGCGGCGGGAGTTGCAAAAACGGTAAATGATACGAGAGCTGCACAGCAGCAGCTAGAAGAAATGCAACATAATCGCGCGATGGGATTTATCTGACTCCGTACAGACGGGGACTTTTAAAGAAGAAGAAAAAAACGTTGAAAAAACAGTAAACCTACCTACAGGTATAACAACGAACATACAGTTGGAACAGTTAGCTAAGCGCATGCGTATACCTTTCTTTAGAGGTGTTTTCATGCGTAATACATTACGAACATAGTACATTGTAATGAGAGTGGTATTGTCAATTTGGATGATACAAATGGACCAGGTACTCACTGGGTGGTGTATGCACAGAGAGGAAAGCATGTCATATATTTTGACAGTTACGGCAATCTTCAACCACCGAAAGAGGTGGTGCGTTATCTCAAACATGCCGTGGAGAAAATAGAATATAACTGTACGTCTTATCAACATTACAATCAAAGCAATTGCGGTCAATTATGTTTGCAATTTCTTCAAACGGTTTGATAAGCTATATTTCTTTATAATAGTGTGCTATCAAACTTCAATACGCATTTGATAACATGTCACTGACGTTCACATTTACCGGTAAAAGTAGCATCCTTGCGGTCAGCTACTTTCCCACCATTGATTTAAGTGACGGTGATTACGAGCTTGGACTAACAGATTTTGAAACATATCATACGATACCGAATGTGACTTCGTCAAACAACAAATTTTATTACGATACGGATAACAAGCAAATTTTGATTCCCAAAGGATCGTACGAATTGCAGGATATTAACAACTATCTGCAACATGCAATGATGCAACGTAATGCGAGAAGCGAAGATAAAGATGAGAACGTTCCGTCACTAATATTACGTGCAAACACCAACACAATGAAAAGCGAAATAAACTGCGTCTATTAAATAAATTTTACTAAACCTGACACCATTGGATTGCTGTTGGGATTTTCATCAACTCGTATTTTAGATTCACGACAGTGGTATGTATCAGACGTGCTGATTGATATTATCAACGTTAACATTGTTTGCATAGAATGTAACGTGACCGCCGGTGCATACAGCAACAACCGGTGCGTGCATACGATACATGAGTTCTTACCGAACGTGTCGCCAGGATATAAGATCTCGGAAACACCAGCACAGATCATTTACCTTCCGATCATCGCGCAGAGCATTACGGATCTTACAATACGTATTATGGATCAGAACGGACAATTGCTTGATTTTCGAGGAGAGGAAATAACCGTCAGGTTACACGTGCGACGCCGACGACTGTAATACGCGGCATATGCTCGTGCAGAACGAGGCGGATCAAGTGACGCGAGATACAAGGTTTCCATTACAAACACCTGCTAGTACTACGACGTACAGTAATCGGAAGAAACTAAGTTCGATAAACGTAAAATTTTTGCAATCGTTGGGATTTATTGTACGCGAATTGTGAAAATATGGTCAACATTTTAAACGTTGGCGGTGAGCCGATTTTTGACGATCATATCGTCAAGATTGAAACTCACACGTACAATCTGTATGTGAACACAACATTTGAACACAGTGATGAGATACGCATACCTATACAACAACAAGACTTGTACACGTTACCGTGTCAAAGTTTTCTTTACATCAAAGGAAAATTGACATTAACGAAGAAAGATGAAGAAAAAGTATATTTGAGTAATAATTGTGTAGCTTTCATGTTCGATGAGATTCGCTATGAACTCAATGGTGTGGAGATTGATCGTAATAGAAACGTTGGAGTAACCAGCATCAAAAACTATATATCGATCAAAACCTATATATCGCTAAGTAAGTATAGAAAAATATAACAAGGTCTGTTTCGAGCTTTTAATGGATCTTAAAGTTTATTTAAACAAAAAGCATATAAAACGCAGTAAAACGCAAATGACAAACAAATAAAATTAAGAGATGACAAACGTTTCGGCCCTTACTTGAGCCTTCTTCAGTGTATAAATATAAATATAAATGTAAATATACAAATAAATATAAATAATCACGTCATATTACAAGGTTCGCAAAATTACAAGAAAATTGAAAAAAAAATGATAGATCTTACATTAGAAGTCCATAGTAGTTGTATAAAGTTTGACTTCCTGAAAAGGTCGTGTAGAGAGTAAATAATCACACACAATATAATATAAAAGTTAAAGTTAACGTTAAAACGTATTGAAACTTACATATCCAAAGTCAAGATCAAACGACGAACAGAGAGAAAAAGCAACAACTTATATAACAATCTCCCCACCAACCAACAGTAAAGTCAAAGTAAAACGGTTGCGTAAAATTTAAATTTTGGAAGATTTTATTAAGTCAAGTAAATTAAAATAAAAATGATCAAGTAAATTAGTGTCGTTAATTAGGTTTAAACCTAGTGTCTGTTCCTTGATATGTATAGTCTCAGAAATTAATCTTTTAAAAAAATTACGTTCATAATCTAAAATTTGAGTATTATCCCAATCGAAAATATGATTTAAATCAAGTCTATGTTTTGAGATTACTGACAGCTGTGAGGAGGTTGTATTAATGTCATTTTTGTGTTTCTTTAATCGTGTTTTTAGTTGCCTTTTTGTCTGTCCGACGTAAGACGCACAGCAATTCATACAAGAAATCTTATAAATAATGTTGTTTTTCGAGTCGTGTTTTGTAGAGTCTTTATGTACTTTGATAATTACATTTAGTCTGTTGAGACATTTGTAGCCAATAATAACTTTCGCTTTGTTAAAAACATTGCTAATACACTCAGAGATATTATTAATATATGTTAAAACAACCAAGTTTCTATCAACTGGAGTTAGAGAACTAGTATTAAAAGAGTTGTTGAGTTTCTTACAAATGAATTTTTTAATTCTATTGTTAACGTTGTTAAAAATGAAATCTAGAGGATAACCATTGTTAAGTAAAATTTCAATACTAAAAGTAATATTTTTAGTATGGAAGTTGGGATGTAACAACAAGATAGCTCGATCAATTAAACTGAAAACTGTGCCTTTTTTATGGCACAGAGGATGAGAGAAAAATGATAAAAATCGTCCAGAGAAAGTCTTTTTATGAAACCAGTCTATTTTTAATTTTTGGTCTACAATGTGGATAGTTAAATCTAAAAAGTTAATGCAATGGTTATTCT